TAGATAATTTTAGGAAGAAACAAAAGGTCCAAGACTATATTATGGCACATAGACGATTTTCGGTTATGACCCTACCCATAATGAAATTAGATGGTGGATAAGTCACAGTCACATGCATGTATGATCATTCTTTTTTTTTCCTTTTGACAGACTAGTAGCAATGGAACGAGAAGGTCATCAAAATATACGACCTCCAAAGCAGAAGACTAACCTCTTTGGGTAAATAAAAAGACAATGGACATTGCCTCTACATTTGCTGATAAAGGCGGTTTGAAAGACGCCTTCACGGATGTAGGTCGTTCTTCTAACTGTAGGGTGTTGTCTCTTGACCATGACAAAAGGTTATGCAACAGGTACCCGGAGGGTGCCCTTCCCCTTCATGAGTGTCTCTTTTTACATATGGGTTTTAGACTTCCCTTCAACGACTTTGAGGTGAAGGTCATTGACCATTTAGGAATCTCCCCATCGCAGCTCCACCCTGTGAGCTAGGCCTATGGGAAAGTTTTTTAATATTGGTGCGAGTACAAGAATGGAATCACCACTTTGACGCTTTTCTTTCATCTCTTTAATATTCAACGAACTTCAACTAAATTAGATTGAGGTCAATGGTTTTTCTCGTGTAGTCAGAACAATGAGATGTTTGAAGAATACCTTCAACGACATGTATTATCTAGTTACCCCCTTTAACTGCACGATCAATGTAAACATCTATGAGATTTAGGTCGATTCCCCTTCAAGATGCCCCAAAAGATTCCCGAAGTTCTAGCGACTAAACCTCTTTCTAGTCGGATCAGAGTTGTACATATATCCTACTAGTGGCGTGACTCTAGAAGATAAGTATTTGAATACTAAGTTCGTCGACTTCTTGGAAGGAATTAGATTTAATAGTGGTGCAGTACCTTCTGATGTTGATCCTTCAAAACGAAAAAGGCAGTATATCAAAACTTGTTTGTTAGTTAAGGAAGCTACTAAAGTAGAGAGGTGAAACACCTTTCATAAGGGCGAAGATTTCTTGAATCTATTAGATGTTTGGTGTTTTGCTTGAGAATATATCTACTAGTTCTTATCATCTCTTACTTTTGCTTGTATATAAGATGATTTGTTTGAAGACTATGATTCAGAAAAGGAAGACATTTAGGAGTATGCCTCTGCCCTCTGTCGTTCCTACCGTGTGACCTCTAGAGAAGGTTTTCCTTGGAGACGAACCTTAAGTTCTGAACCTTTAGATGATTCCTTTGTCAGAGAAACCTAGACAGATAACTCCTCCCCATCCTAGAGGTGGACAAGCGCGAGAGTGCTTCCATTAGACTGATGGTGATACTATTTATATGTCTTCATCAAGGATGAATTACATTTCTTTCTTTGACGAACTCGCCTCCAAGAGACCTCAAGAAGAGGCGTCGGCTCGGGCAGGTTGGATCTCGGAGGAAGGTCATGTGCCCCATCACTAATCATGTCTCATCGTTTCTAGGTTTTTCGGATCCTAGAACGGCTAGAGAACTTCAAACTTATGTTTCTGTAGAGAAAAAAATATGTTTATTTTTCTAACAAGGCATATATGTTTCATCGAGATGAGATGGAAGAAATGTCATATCTGATGTGTAGGAATACTAATTTGTTGGCTTTTGGAGCTGTCAGAGACGGCGATGCTTTAGCACCTGGGAGTCTTCGAAGAGAGAAGGGAATCCTTCAAGGACGTCTTAACGTGACCACTATCAAAAGGGACAAGCTTCTTCATGAGTCTCTAGATCATGTCCATCTCCTGAGCCTCTAAACCTACTAGAACCTAGGTGACCCAATTCTCCGCGTATTGGACCTCAGTTCAAACATGCCCATTTGTTGGGCCGCGTATCTTACTAAAGAGAGAGTTTCTTAATCCACCCCTTGATACTTTTAGCCACCTAGCGCATTTCCTTTTCTCCCCCAAGCTTACGGAGTTGTATCTCCGGATGCATCCTGTTTTTTCTTTTACGTTGGATGCTTCTGGAGACACATCTACGGAAAAAGTTCAGCAGATGCATCTCCGAAATCTTATCAGAACAAGCTTTTAAAAAAAAACTAGTTTTGTTGCTCGCAGATGGAAATTAAATGTTGCAGATGAATATAAAATAACATACATGCGTAGATAAAATAATTTGATATATATAAGAAGTCATATGTCATAAACATCATCAAAAAATAGTACATCAAAATGTAGAACATCAAAAAAACACCACAGTCACTATTATGTGTGCCTAACAATATCTCCATCCCCTCCTCTGCCTCTACCGCCTCCTCGACACCTGTCCTGGCGCGATGTTTGCGGTACATAAGTGCCCCCTCTGCCATCGCAATCATCTCATCCAATATATGCCTGTGGTCAGACCCCTTAGGGAAGAAAACCGACCTCAATGCCTGTCCGTCCCATCTACACTATCTGACGACAGCGAGACAGAACATCTTGAGTGTGGTCTAACTGAGACTGCTGATCCTCTAAAATCTCCTGATGAGATGGTCTGGACGGTGATCCTTCTACGGTGGGCACCATGTAGGGGTGTGAGATGGTGAAGAACCACTTAATGTAGCCATCGACGCAACTCCAGTCTCGCGGCGCTCTGGTCGCCCGAGCCTTGTCTGGTACCCTGTGCCTCTGATAGTCAGCATAAATCTAAGGCCCCCCTGAGAAAATCTCAGGCTCATCATCGTCGTCGTCACCAGCATCCTCCGATGGTGGGTCATCACCCTCTGAAGGTGGCACCAGATCAACATCATCGGCAGGATGAGGAACAGGAGTATCCCGACGAGGCCTGCGGGAGGACGAGGCCTATGATGAACCCTCAGCTGAATCCCGACGCCTCCAGGATGAATAAGTGGATGATGAGGTAGGATACGAGGTCGATGGAGTGTCATGTGCATGTGATGAAGAAGACTGTGCAGTAGGTTGTGCCTCGGTAACGGTCTGGCTCCGCTCGCGTCTGACAAATGCATGTTGTGAAACCCGCCCAAGTCGCAATCTATCATCTCTGTCTGCCATAATGTCTGCAAGGTATAACCAAGAAAAATAATTAGATACAAAAAAACAAAAAAAACAAAAAAAAGTAACATTTGTTAGCTTCCGGATATGAACACACGGGAAACTTCCGTAGATGTATTTAAGGAAGTACGCAGAATTCACAACGTTTGATTTGTTTTGTAGCTGCATCTACGGAATTGCCATACGTTAATTTGTTCCGTAAATGTAGCTCCAAAATTTTCGGCAACTCCAACAGCCACGACAATGACGTCCCTTACCCATGAAAATCGATTTTTTAAAGCCCTGATCGTCCGTTTCAGCCAACAAACAATACCTACATTGTCTCTAAACTATGTTTTTAAAATATCTAAGGATTTCTACCCCTAAAACTATATTCTAACTCGTTTATGGTAAATACTCGAAAATACCTCATAAACTCGAAAATTTACCGATTATATCGAGCTTTGAATAATTTGGAGTGTCTTGATCGTTGAAATTAATACTCCTTGTCGAACTCGATTGAAAAAAATTAAGTTTGGTGAAAAATGATTTTTTGAGGATTGAGAGAGTTTGGAAAGTTTGAGAGTGAAGAAGATGAAAAATAAAGAATGAGAGAGGAGAAGAGACTCTGACGCGAATGTATTCCAATATGTTCTTGAGCTATATAAACGAAAATATTATGTAGATGTAGCTCCGGAAAAAATGAGTAAAAAAAAGATACATCTGGAGATACATATCCAAAAATAAAGGGTATTTTTAGAAACACGCATGGTGTCTAAGAACCTCAAGAGGTGGGATAAGAAATTCTCGCTAAATATTTGATAACATGGTTTCTCACATGTCGGGTATTGGTTTAGACCGTAACAGTTTAATTAAAACTTTTCAACCATAGTTACTGTGAGTTTTTTTCATATTGTCTTGTGGAGCATCATAGATACCACAAACATAAAAAAAATGTTTGAATAACGCTCTGTTCTTTCTTTCAACGGGAAAAATATATGTATATTTAATAAAATAGTGAAATCTATGTACATTTTATTCAATAAAATAGTAAATATTAGAAAAAGAATATCACTAAACTATTCACAACAAAACATATATCTTGTAGGAATGCTGATTGTGGCACATTTAGGTTCGTAGAAGATCAACATGTTGGAATAGGTTCACCAATGCCAGAGGATTTAAAAATGATGAGAATGTGTTGTGTGCTTTATTGTTGCGCATAGAGGTACGAGTAGCAGTAGAAATGGTGGTTGATTAGTCTATAGATGTTTCGCTTAATAATTTTTCTCCAATATTGCTTGCAAAACACTTCTAATTTTCATTAATTTTCCCAATATATAAGTGACTATTATACGAGTTTGAACACAACCACAGTCACAAATAATTTAATAGTAATAATTTGGAGACATGGACCTTTCACTCGTACAAATGGGTGGCACTGGTTATAATCATCAGTGGTCACATATACATGACTTTGCATGTAAGCATCCACTATTAAACATTAATATGAGTGCTCAGTGGGTCACTGACTTTGCATTATGGTTTTAATTTATGATCTTCATTCATGTCATGTCCTTTCCATTGTTTCTTTTCATTTGTGCGTACTCTTTTGTTTTATGCTAAAACAAAACTCTATAATAGCAAAATAGAAAAATACTAAAAATACTAAAGGTTGGAAATCCTTCCAATAGGGTTCGTAACAATTTGTTACCATGCTACAATGTGAATAAAGGCAACAACTTCATATATAATAGTATTCATTAAACTAGACATATAGTTGAAACTAGTATTGATCAGTTATATACATATTTTTCAGGTGTGTAAACCAAGAGACTGCATAATGATGGCACAACAAAAGCCAACACAATATTCAAAATACTGGCTTGTGTCTCATAGCTTCTATGGATGTTAAGATTAGCATGTTACACCAACTTCTGCTCTACATAATGTACACAAAATATATAACTAGTAAAAAAGTATACTTGGATAAACGCCGAGTCATCAGTCATGCTTCAACTTCTTTGCCACTAGTATGAGTCTCATCATTTTCAGAATCCTCTTCTTCATCTTCATCAGCTGGCTTTGTTAGCTCTTCCTGAATCATAGTCTTTATAGATGCCTTTCTTGGGGTGAGATCCGTATCGAATTGCTTACCTGAACAATGGTCAGCAATTGTGTTGGTCATATAAAATTAGCCTAAACTTTCATTATTATTTTCATGAATTGTATAACTTCCTTCTATCTCCAAAATTCTCAATTACTGATATATAAAGGGACATTGCTCTTAAAGTCATAAAAGTTACTTTGATCTTAAACCAAGGACAAAAAGATAATAATAGCAAATTATGCTTACCGAGTAGTTCCAGAATGTTGCTAAATGTCGCCTGCAAAAGAGAAGAAAATGTTATACTTTTGAACAACAGAAAACCTTGACTAGAGAGAGGCATAATTAAGAATAAAATCAAAACATCAAGAATTAAGATCAACACCACAGTAATTTGAATCTAGTTCTATGAATTCCACTAGTAGTGTTGAAGGAATTAAACAGACAGCAATTTGAATCTAGTTCTATGAATTCGACTAGTAGTGTTGAAGGAATTAAACAGCTAACGAAGATAATGAAACTTCCTACCGTATTGAAGTCAACTTGCTTCAAAATATCACATATTGCATTGCGCAACTGATCATCACTGGGTTTTGACTTCTCTTTGGTTTTGCCCTTTCTTTTTGTAACCTTCTCTGTTTGACAAATACAAAAAGATTCATTTTAAAGATGTTAAGCTAATAGGAAAAGGTAACATGTTCATTTTAAAGATTTCAATGAGTGCCTTAAACTGAAAATGATAGTTTATTTCACTAATCGCTAGAACATGAAAGAACATAGAGTTCACAATGCATACCTGTATTGTCTTTGGAGGAAGACTTGGTGAGAGTTAAGGTTTTCTGTTTTTCATTTTTCTTCTTCCTTGAAAAGACCTTTGGACTTCCCTCACTAATATCATCATCGGACTCAGAGAGTGTGGACAGTGATTTCATAGTTCTCTTTCGTGGTGTGCGAGGTTTTTTCTGAAATGTCGTTTCCTTTGCTTTGCCTTTGGCAGCGAATTCTTTCTCTCTGGAAAATGTTTTATTTATTTTACTCGCTTTCTTCACATCTTCAGATTCATTATCGGAATCACTTTTATCTTCACTTTCAGACTTCTGAGGCCTTTCATCCTCAGATCTGTCAGGAAGACCTTTTTCATTTTCCTCTTCTTTCTCAGAATCACTTTCTGTGTCAGTTGTAGTCTTTCTCTCTTCGTCTGAAGAATCTTCATTTTTCTTCCTACTCTGAAAATCCATCAAGGTTAGAAAGCCAAATTGATTGGTTTCATGGGTTTAAACCAATTTACCACTTCTAGTATATATCTAAATTACATTTCAAATTTCAGCAATTAAAAACACGAAATCTCACCTTAGCAGAGCGTTTTGATGTTGCTGCTCCAGATCTCGATGAACCTTGCTTTGTTATGCGCTTGCGCTTTTTTCCTTTAATAGACTGATAATAAGGAAAACATAAATATGAATAGTAGCACCAGAAACACGCGTCTTGTGTTAAAGCACAGTACAATAACAACTAGTGGGAAAAGATTGAAAAGAAAAGGTTAGTATTATAAACCTTTTCTTGTTCTTCAAGCAATATAGCCCTTGTCACATGAGGGGCAACCAAAAAGTTTATTAGTTTTGCAATAATATCTTCCTGCATATGTAGAAGATTAACAGCATGAGAAATTAACACCGGGGATGTTAAATCAACGACAACATCAAGGACTGCATTGACAATTCCACTGATGCACACAATGACTCAAGCATGAAATGTGTCAACAGGGCCAAACCAACAAACCTTCCTAGTATTTGCCTTTGTAATTTGTATGTCAAGCACATCGCAGACATCCAGCAACTTCTCTTTATTACACTTGTCAAATTTTTCTTTTACTTTAATCATTTGCTTTTCCTGCAGTAACAATATTTGGTTTTAGAAACTTAGGCATAAAAGCAAGCATTCATTTTGTTATATATAACTTGGTTGCAAGTTACAAGCATACCTCATTTTCATACCATACAAAACCAGAGAACCTTGATATGTTTTTCTTAACCTCAGCTGCCTGTGAATTACACAACAAAACATTAGTTAAATAGAAGCACAATAACATCTGTTTGACCTGTTAATTTCATTATTCCAGGTAAGTGTAACCTTTTAACTGTCTAAGAATAAACTCTACTATATCATTAACTATATATGTTAACAAAAAACAAGTGGTGAAAAATAACAGTAATGAAAAACTTTGATTGTTCGTGAAGCAGGATATATACCTTTCTTCTCCTAGAAAAGAGGATTGTATGGAGAAATTTTAATGTATCATCAACCTTCCTTCTAGATAACTTAAATGCCACTGAAAAATAAAATGCAAGAGTCATAAAGTTAGCTGTTCTGAAGAAGTAGAAACATGTATCTGCGGCATAAAGTGCGTCATTGACAGGAAAAGTAATAAAAGAGAAATCATAGATCATAATGGAAAGAAGAAATCGAACAAATGGAACACCGTACCATTGGGTATATCTTTTAAATACATACCACTACCCTGCAAAGCGAAAGAAATATTGTAAACAAAATAAGCTTCAATATAATACTCACAATTAGGGCTTACAATGAATCTGGAATGAATACCTCGTCAATGAAAAATTCTTTGGATACATCTCTCTCATATGATTCTACCAACCTCTCAACTGATTTCCTTTCCCGTACAGGACGATTGGTTGCACTTGCAGGAGTCCTTGGCTCTGTCTCTTCCACTTGCTGCTCATGGATGTTTCGTCTCCTGCACTTTTTTAATCCTTTCTCAACTTCCATGTCTTCAGAATCATCTTGATTTAACTTATAGTTAATTTTATCATTAACATCCTCCTCCTCTTCTTGACTTTCCACCTTTTCACTGTTTTCATCTTTATCATCAGGGATCCCCTCTGCCCCCTTCTGTTTCTTTATTTTCTTTTTCACCTTCTCCACATTGCCCTTTCCTCTCTCACGCTTTTTCGATACTTTCTCAGCTGGAATATCTTCTTCAGCTGACTTATTGCCAACCTTAACCTTATCATTCTCCTCATTTTCTTGACCTTTTTCCTTTTTACCACTTTCATCATTGACTTCACGGACATCCTCAACCTTTTCTTGACCTTTATCCTGTTCACTGCTCTCGTCTTTTTTTTCGGGGACATCATCTTCTTCCATGACATCTAATGCTGGTTTCTTAGCTTCAACACTTTCTTTTTCTTCTTTACTATCCATAGTTTCCTTAACATCAGTTTCCTCCCCCAATTTTTCATCCTCAAACCTATTATCATCTTTCTTATTTATCTCTGTTACATTCACAAAATCATCTTTCGTATCATCTTCTGATTCTTTCAAGCCAACATCTTCCTTATCATCTTTTATTTCCTCTCCAGCATTAAGCTTCTTATCCTCTTTTAATTCTTCCCCTTCACCAGCTTTCTTATCCTCTTCTAATTCTTCCCCTTCATCAACTTTCTTATCCTCTATAAAGTCTTCCCTTTCATCAACTTTCTTATCGTCTTTTAATTCTTCCTCTTCATTGACTTTCTTATCCTCTTCTAATTTTTCCCCTTCATCGACTTTCTCATCCTTTTTTATTTCTTCCCCGTCACCAATTTGGTTATCATCAGTTATTTCATCACCATCATCAGCTTTCTTATCAACTTCCATTTCTTTTATATCATCCTCCTTCAAGTCTTCGACTTCATTATCCTCCAAGGTTTTCCCTCCTTCAGATTCCAACTCCTTATCACTCAAGTCATTTAAAGTTTTCTTTGGCGTGACATTGACATTTGAGTCAGTTTTGGAAACTGTATTAATTGATTCTTCCTCACCCATACCGATTGAATCTTATCTATACTAAATCTATATATGACTTCTTCCTGCACACTATTTGCACTTCACTGGTTTCTTCGAATCTAACAACTTATGCCTGTAAATGCAGCCCAAACAATAACCCATAAGAAAACTCTAGTTTAAAAACATTATCAACATGCAAAAACAAAAAATGACCACAATTCTGGTAAGCTTCATAATAGTATGTTGAACCCTAGAATACACAATATACATACAAATTATATTTTTCCTAAAATGGAAGATTGTTTCAAACAGGTCCACTAAATGAAAATTTTCAACTGAAAAACCCAAATATATCAATTGACATGTTAAGTTGCCAAAAAAAAATTACAATTAAAGCTTGAAAATAGAACCCATCCCTTAACAAATGCAGTCTACAAACAATAAAAACAGCACCCTCCAGCTGTTAGGACTTCTGATAGAGCCTAAAACACTAGTGGATCAGTACATTGAACTCCATGAACCACTCCACCTCCCCATCAAGTCAGAACCAAACTTTGTAATGTTATCACAGTTGGTACTTCCGAGGAAGCCTACAACACTCAGGTGGATCATCACATTAGATTAAAAGCAAACACACAAGTGAGTTTGGACACCACATTTTCACCCCAAATCTTATAGATCCTCTCGCTTACATGTTGTTCAACATCTTTTTCTTTTTCTTTTTTTACTTTTGCATCCAATGAAACTTCTAACTTACACTTATCACACCAACAGAAGCTAGGGTGTAGGAATAACTGAGCTATGAAAAAAACAAACAAGCTATGTGTGTTTGATTATTTGATTCTGCAATGAAGAAAATTGATTTTGAGTGAACTGATTTTATTAAACTGATTTTGGTTAAAAGTGAATTTAAAGTAAAGTGATTTATGTTTAGATACATTTCTGAAAAAGCGAGTTGAACAATAAATTTTAGTGTAAAAATCACCTTTAGACTCAAAAGCTATAGATTCTAACTAACTTCAAGTAGAATCAATTCTAGTCGAGAGCAACTAAACATGTCAAATCACATTTAGACTCAAAAGCTATAAATCTTAACTTCAAACAGAATCAATTCTAAAAAACATAATAATCAATTCTACTCGTGAGCAACCAAACATGTCAAAATCAATTCTATTCGTGAGCAACCAAACATGTCAAAATCAATTCTATTCGTGAGCAACCAAACATGTCAAAATCAATTCTACTTGTGAGCAACCAAACATGTCAAAATCAATTCTACACAAACAATTCTAGGTACTCCAAACGTGAAACCAAACATACACTAGTTGAATTTTGCACTACTTCCCAGCAAAATCAAAAGATCAAGCACATGCAAAACAAGGACAACCATAGTTCAACAAAAAAAAAAAACTCAACAACACAACACATTCATGGTCAAAAATCAAATTCTACGCTACATCAAGTACATAAGAACGACCTCAGCACTCAAACAAAAAAAATAGGGTTCAATAGCATCCCAAACAATCAAATCAAAACCATAAAATTCAACCTTTTTTTCTCAACAATGATCATAAGTTTCAAACAACAATGAAGTTTATAAAATAGAAAGATTCAAACTTTGAACTGAAGAGAACATCTAAAGCAGTGAAAAAAGGAGAAGAAACTTACAAGTCGAGAAGTAAGAAGAGAAGATGGTAAAAAAGCTTTGGATTTTTCTACCTTCTGAAAGGGGCTATTTCTGGTTATTTATATTTTTTTAATTCGGACTTCAAATGCGGATTTTAAATGCAAAATTAAAATATCGACGGTGGAGATATGATCTTCATGGGTACGCGCAAGATTTATCGTTGATTTCGTTTTCTTTTTATATGAGAAATTTATTATTTATTTATTTTAATTATCGTCGTTTGATTTTCTTTTTTTTTTTATATGACTTTATTTTTGTATTATTGATGCCACCAGACTACAATGATGTCGTGTGCAAATTTATTTATTTATTTTATTTTTATGTGCTAGTTTGAGCAAATATGATTGTATGAAATAATAGAGTAATTAGTATTAGATTATATTGCTATACAGAATAAGTATGATTAGCAATTAGCAATTTTTGGGTTGGAATATGTTTGATAGGATAAAATTGGTAAGCATCCAAATTATGAGAATTTCAAGTTTTCAACAACGTACAACCTTATTAAGTTATCAGTCATGCCACACAAATAAAGAAATTAGACATGCTAAATTCTAATTCAGCAATTAACAAATATATCACATTTAAATATTTTTATAATTTAGAGAAGAATAGAATTGTTTAACAATAATTAATAATCTATTATTGAATAAATCAATTATACAAAAGATCTGAATTTATATATCTTTTGGTCGATTTCAAATCCAAATTATTACGGTTATGAGGTATTGTTTATTTTGGGTGTGAGAACTATCACGATTGTGTGTCTTAGAAAAGGTGTCTCTTTTTGTACATATCGACAATGGTGACGACAATTTCTTTGTATTCACTTTGAAACTCTTTTGTTTAGGCATGACAAAAAAACTCGGACCCTTCGGGGCCTGCCCGAACCCACCCCGAAATTAGCGAGGAAAACCCAATTTGAGTGGATATAGGTGCGGGTGCGGAAAAAACTCGACTTTTAATTACAGGTGCGGTGAGACAATAAGACTCGTCTCCGCCCCCGAATAATGCATTTTAGTTTAATTCTCTTATTTTATTATTTTAATATTTATTTATTAATTATATTTTTAATTAAATTATTAAGACCTTTATTGCAATTAAAATAATTAAATTAATCAAATTAATATTCATTTACTTATTAAAATTTTAATTAAATAAATAAATAATTTATTAAAATAATCAATTTTTTAATTAAATTATTAATTTTTATTGCAATTAAAAAGAAATTAATTTTTTTTCGGGTGGGGGCGGAGCGGGTGCGGGTGCACCCGTTCTCTACTGGGGGCGGGTCTGGGCGGTAAATTTTTACCCCCGATTGGGTTTGGGGGCGGGGAGGGTGTGTTACATGGAGGCGAGTGTGGGTGCGGGTATAGTAAAACCCGCCCCCGACCCGCCCCGTTGCCATCCCTACTTTTGTTGCTGGATTGGGAGTGATGTCACGTCTAGCGCAATCAGTCACACCCACCTTATAGCAACGGTGTCTTCCTTGAGAGGATAGCAACGAAGTACACATTTACAATTTTTTTTATCTGTTTGTTCTCTGATTGGCTTTGACAGATTTATCCTCTAGCACTGAGGAGTAGTGAGATTAACTGACGCCAGATGATGTTGGACTTTCGCGTTATCCCGAGCTATGAATTTGTAATGTTTGACACTCTAAAGCGTGTTGAATCACTGGAACTTTCGTTGCCGCCTGGAGTTTCCATTGCGGTAAAGGTCATGAGAACAATGAGTCGAGGATCATGAAAATCTTTTCATGATTTCATAATATTTGACTTTATTTTCACATCTCATCATTTCTTGTTTTATTACGCCGGTTGAAAGAACTTTAACTGTGGAAACTCCTCTTTACGTGATGATTTTCCTCCATCTTTATCAATAAAAGGAATTTGACGTGGTTTATGGTCAGAAGATTTCAAAGAATTTTAACCAAGACAACAAAGATTATCTTCATCATTTTAGTGTTCTGCCGTAACAAAATGACTTTTGAATTAGACAAGATTTGATTGTGGAAATCACGAAATCGTAATTTGACCCACAAACAGTGCCATTGTTCCAGTTTATAACCATAATTGTCATTAGACTTGGCTTTGGAACAATAAATGGACCTTAATTTGTTGGGCTTTTGGTCAACTTAGAACAATATATAGCATAAATTTGAAAGTAAAGAAAAAATTGATATGGATCGTTCGCAAGTCCAATGAAAAAGACCTAACATTAAGCGTTGAATGGAAATGCACACCGAACATGAGAACCCTCATCTCAGCCGATGACACACAATCACATCTTTTATCACATTTTTCTTCGTTGATATCTAATTGAACGATTATCTGACCTAAACACCGAGTCACACGCAAGCAATTTTAATTGCCCATATTATACAAAGACCAGATCATGTGACTACATATATTCTCACTCTCTTATAATAAAGCAGAATTGGTATGAGATAATTTAGGGTCATTGAAATTCAAAAATAGTGGAAGTCATGATTCGATACTCAACTTCAGTGGAAAATTTGAAGACATTTGCTTGTTTATTTTATTTCTATGGTATTAGAGAGTCATTTAAGAAGATGCAAAATCTTGAAGTTGATTTGTATGTATTAGGGCCTATTCCATTTGAATCGGAAAAAAAAATTGTAGAGAATATGAAGGTGGGAAGAAATGATTCTTGTGATGGAAAAAATTTAAATCATTTGAGTAATTGAATGACACATTGATGATTTTGAAAAATGAAATGGTGATGTATTAATTTAGTTGGTGAACACAATAGCTTTTATTTAGACTGCGTGTTGGTGAAGTAAATTAACTTGCAAATAAGTATGAACTACAATTAGTATGAGTAATGTAAATGCGATATATCGGAATAAATGACATTTAATTAATTAAAAATATCTCGAGTAAATAAAAAAACATACCCTTTTCAACATGATTTAAAACCAAGAAAAACAATTTATCTATTTATATAGTCAAGTTTTGATTTATGAATAAATAATATGCTGGAAATGATAAGCAACCAAAATCCTTTAAATCATTATAAATGGATTATATGTTATAAATAGAATGAATTTAAGGGAGAAAAAAGTCTCCAAAAATGACCTAAATGACTAGAACAAATGATTTTTTTTTAATACCATAAATAATAGGTCTAGAATAACATTTAAGGTTTACTCTTCTTTTATAAGTAATTTTCACTAGGAGAATTTGAACCTAAGAATAACATTCAAGATTCAAGCATTTACCATTGTAAAATAATACTCTTCTTGATACTGAACTCATTAGATAAATAAACTCGAATTACAACTAATTGAAAAAACCACGTTGAAGGAACTGACAAATTGCTAATTGAA